GATTTTCTGTAGGAAAAAAGAAAAAAAAAGACTGTACACTATACCAGCACATTTAATTACCTAAGCACAAAATACCACCCATGAGGCTTTATCAGAATTATGAAGCTCTCAGTTGACCAGTGTAACAAGATCTGAGCTCTCTAAAATGCAATGGGCTCACTTGAATGCTCACTTGAAATGCACTTCAATCTCGCTTGAAGGCAATCTATGCACACAAAGCTGGGAAGAAATCCTGGACCATGTGCACTCATGGCCACAGTGAAGACTCTTCCACTATGCAAATTGTGAGCCTGCAAGCTTATCCTTAGGTGTGGCTGGCAAATGCCCTTAAGAAATAATGACAATGTCTTCCTCTGCACCTCTGAGAGCAAACAACTTATCAGCCTTACCTGAACCATTTGACCAGAAGCTGTCAGCAGGTACCTGCAAGGAAGGACAACACAGGAGACAGTCAAAGTGCCTAAGGCATTCTGTGTGCCCCTGGATCAGAAGCGACATTGACACAGCCCCTTCACTGGGAAAAGTTTCCTTCAGGATTTTAATGAGTTATTGACTCCAAATCTATAATCAGATGAAGACACAAAGCTTCAAGAAATTTCATAAACTCTGAAGACCTTACTTAGTGGGGAGAGACAATTTTACTTGTGGCTTCCTGGCAGCTAAAGAGAGCAGGGAGGTGGAACAGGCAGGACAGTTTATGAATGAATGTGTGTATAATCATCCACACATTTGGCATTTTTGTGGAGACCAGAAGGCCAGTAGTAGGAAGCAGAGATTTGACTTTGCATTACAAAAGCTGCAGGAAGGACACTGAGAATGCAGAAAAATGCAAAAATTCATTAATTTTATATACTTGCATGTTAGGTGTTAGCCTACCACTAGTTACTTTCTGGGTATCAACTTTTGTGATTTGCTGGCTCTTTGTTCGCTGGGTGTCAAGTTTCAACAGGGAATACAGGAATATTTCCAGGTCTCAAAGAGACATGAGTAGTTGATGGTTGCTAGAAGGGTTTTTATTGTATAAAATTGTCAGTCTCAAAGGCAAAGAGTATAGAAAGTTAAAGTCCTTACTAAAAGTTTTGGCATGAAGTCCTGAGTTCTGAGCAGCAGCTCTCTGGTATAAGGTCCCAATGTTCGGGGCAGCAGCTTCTCAGCATGGAGCTCTGTTGTCCAGGGCTGTAGAAGCAGTTGGTGATGATGGAGCTGCTGTTCTTCCTCGGTCTGATAGATTGATGGATGGGTAGGTGGGTGGATGGATGGACGGACGGACGGACGGACGGACGGATGGATGGATGGATGGATGGAGAGATTCTGATCTCCAATACAGGGGATTAAATCCATAAATCATCCAATCAGCTAAAAACACACTTCTAAAACAAAATTTTTTACACCAATACGAACTTAATTCTAACATGTGAAAACAATGTTCTCTTTACTTAAATCTTATGTATAGGGTATTATCTGCTTACATGAGTAATCTTATCTGTTCTAAGAATGCAAACTATATTTTCATTATGACTAGAGCTAAGTTGAATCTGTGAAGGGTATTATCACTGAACTTTAAACTGGGTAATAAGGCTTTTCATTAACTAACACAGGCACTTAAGGTATTTAAACTATATTAAAACTTACTTAAAACTAAAACTTATACTCTATACTTATGGCTTAACATATTTAAGTTTCTCTAAAGATTTTAACTCTAAAAGTTTTAACTCTAAAGACTTTAATTCAGTCTCTAGATTTCTTTTTCTCCCTGAAGGGCTCAGGAGCATTTCTATTTCATGCAACCCAACAGCTGGGATTATTTGTTTGTTTTTTGTTGGGAGATAAGACATTTGGGCTACATGTAAACTTGCAATTGCAGCCTTAGTGATTGTAAGTAGGTAGATGTAAGACAGATCTTAGCACAAAGTCACTTTATCACTGTCAATGCAGCGTGATGAAGGTGAGAAATACTTGATTCATTCATAATGCATCTACACTGCCTGTAAGCCCCCTCTGTTGTTCTGTACCAGGTCAATTTAGATAAATAAAAGCACAATTTTATTTTGTTACAAGATTTGGGGAAGCAGAGATTTTCTTTTCAGTCTCAATTAAACAATTAAACTTGTCTTATTTGTCCTTAAAAATTTTATGTTTTTTTTTTTTTTTTAAAAAAATCAACATTTTAGCAAGATTAGGAACATTCACAGTTAAAAAATATTTTTGACATATTCTTTTTGATTATTCTTAGATTCATGTGATGATGATGTAACTCCTCAGTCAAAAAGAGTAATTGTTTTAAGTTGTTCACTGGCAGTACTCTTAATGATGCTTATCCTCCTGATTCTTCTGTGTAAATGGCAGAGGTAAATATAATTTTATTGGATACAACTAAATAGCCATGTCATGAAAACAGAGTTATCATTCTGGATTAAGCCTCTTAGCAATAAAAATTCTTGTGAGATTAATGAAGTCATGGTGAAGATGTAGAAGTCAGTAGCTTAATTGCTGTTTGCAGAATAATACATCCTGGCCTTCCAAACACCTAGGCCTTTAATTTGTAAAACTGAAGCAATTCTGGTAAAAGACAATGTTTCAGGATAATATTCTGTCTCTTCTCTTTCTTTAGAATTCTAGTTAATTCCTGAGAAGCCAATTTTTCTGGCTACTTCTTCCGAAAGGACATTCTTTTGTTCAACCTTCATTAATCAATCAAAATGTCTGTTTGCAGTAGGATAAAGTAAACTTAAGTGCATTCAGCTTTAATAAGACTAATATTTAGATTGGTAGTTGAATAATGCTGTTCATGTCTAGAATTTACAATTAATAAAAACCCCAAAAAACTACCAAATAACAAACAAATCCACAAAGGCTCCAGATTTTGGGGTTTTTGGTGGGAAAATAGTGCCAAAAATTACATATTTTCAGTGATGAAAGTATTTGTGGCTCTATTTACCCTTTTAGTTCATAAATTGAGTTTTTTTCTCCTGCACTTCTATGGTTCACATTTACATTTGTGTTCACTAAGTCAGCCAATACAGCTGGTTGCTACACCATCATCCCTGCCTAGTGGAAGGTAACCAGAGAATGCAAGCTCTGACTACTGCATTGAGCACAATGGCACGTGCTGACTAGCTGGAGGTTTGTGTACAGTCTAGATTTTGCTAGAGTGGGGCTGGGTTGAAATTCATCAAAAAATTCTCTTAGCCTGATGGTGTTATCAGACTGTTATAAGTGCTTTTTGACTTTAAAACACATTTAAAAGATATCAAGAACAGACTACTGTCATGCGAGATATATTTGTGAGTACAGAACTTTGCTGAGGGAGATTTTTGTATAAATAACTGTGCTATAACAAAGCATCAATTTGTATTTTTTTATTGTTGCAGGGTTCAGATGTCAGTCCTGCCTGCTATACCAGACCCTAAATATCCATTTGCTGATCTCTTCAATGATCATAATGGAAACTTACAGGTGAAAATCACCTTCTTAGCAGGGCTGTAAACTCCACAACGTTGAGAATTATTTGAAAGTAGCTACTGATTCTTGCTCTGCACAGACATAACCACAAGCAGTCTGGCATAAGATAAAAGCCCCAAAACCCTTCCCTTTGTGCAGCATCACCAAGAGGATCCACAGAACAAATGCCAGAGCTCATAAAATCAGTGCAGTGCTGCTTTGGGATTGTGAAAAGACATTTGCTATAGAGACCAAGAGACAGCTGGAGAAGAATTTAAGGGTGTTGAGAGGCACAATATCCATTGAAACAACATTGTGGTGTTTGCATCCTTTCCTGCAAATGACAGGTCAGGGAGCTTGCTTCAACCTGATCTTGTCCTCTATTTTGTGAAGTTCTGAATGTGTGAGTGCTGGCACAGTGATGGCACTCACACCTTTGGAGGTGTCAGTCACCAGTAGGAAACATCCTCTCTTAGCCATAGAGGTGCATGTTCACAAACTTTTAGACCCGGAATGGTTATCAAATGAACAGACTACAGTTTTGGCTTTTGTTTTCTTAATGCTTCTTATGAGTCCCTGACATCACTTATGTGGTGTAGTTTTCTGTTTTAGCTGTACTAGTGTTTACCTTAACTGTTAGTTAAACTTCCTCTAGATGGGAAACAGGTTAAATATTTACATTTTCAAACCAAATGGAATATCAAAAATCAGTAATAATTTTTCAGTGACAAGCTGAAAACTTTTTATATAAAAGATAGCTTTAAACTCAAAGTGAAGAAAAAAGATAGAAATTCAAATTAGTACTGAAGCATTAATACAGGTATGCTATATTGCCTAAATCTTCATCTAAACTAGATTAAATTAAGTCAGGGTTTGGGTCAAAGAAAGCATGAGCCTATCGAAGAGGGAACACCAGATATTTTACACATCCAAGGTTTTCTAAGGCCCCTGGTTAAATACAAAATGTATTTTATGTGGTCTCAAAAATAAGTAAGAGTTTGTATGCAGTTCTGGAATCCTGTCTGCTTTCTTGCCATTCTTTCTTCTGTCCTGCTGTTTTATGTCCTGCTTCTCTACATTGCTTCCTTTTCATCTTCTCCATTGTGGCTTATCCTGGAAAGATGCCAGTATGAAAGGAAAATTGGTAATTGGTATCTATACAACCATGATTCTTTTAACAGATCTTTTAACATCTCTGCCAACATTAACACTTTAATTTTTCTAGGAATGGCTAGACAAAAATGATCATGTGGTGTTGCAAACCAAGCTAGAATATGAAGAACCAGAGTCCATCACTGAGGCAGAAAGCCAGCAAGAAGATGAGAACAGTGACAAACAGGGACCTTTGGAAAAAATCTTCCCTTTTTCAGGAGCAGCTGAAAAAAATGATGGCAAAGCAGCTGAGATTGCCTGCCTGATACCGGCATCCAACACTGCAGCTCCTATTGCTGGCTTCCATATTTTAATGAATGACGACATGTATGTGATGGTATAAAATCTGCATAATGCAGAAGGTGTTAGGTAATTCCCTAAAAGTCCTGATGAGTTTGGGAGAGTGACTGAGTAGAAAAAGTCATCATGATAAGATTCGCATCAAGAAAGACACTTGCCTGTGTTTTCAGATCTGTACTTTCCCAACAGGATCTCTTGGGCAGACTCAAGTGTTTGAAAAAACCTGATAATTTATAATTAGGATTTGTTCTTCTAATTGGGATTTATCCCTAAACCCCATTTTCCTGCTATGGACAGAAGAGCACAGGAGCTCTTCCATAATATATGTCAGCAGAACTGAGATTAAGTCCTTCTGCTTATGGAGTGTGGAGAGCAGGGCAAACTATACCATAGTTCTTCCCAAAATGAAGAGAGAAAATAAAGAGATTTTGCTTTCTCACGTAAAGAGACTTTTGTTGCATAACTTTGCATTTCATGGCAAACCTAAAAGGTTTTGTAGAGAAGGAGTAAGGCCCACATCTTAGAAGAGAAGAGAGAGGATGTACAGTATTAAATCACATTTTAGCCTGCAGATATTGATGTTTAGGCAGCTTCCTCCAGAACAGCAGGGCTTCAAGTCTTTCCTTCGTATCTTACAGTCCTCTGTATCTTACAGTCTTTGAATAGTCAGCATCTTGCAGCCTTTATTTTAGAAAGCTGAAGTTCATTTTGAACAGTATTAATGTTTAACTGAGTTGCATTTATTTCAAACTGGGGTTTAGTGCAATCAGCAGCTGTAGACACAAATTAGGACTTCTTGTTCATATTGCATATACTAGCGTATTATTTTTCTTTAGAAATTGGGCTTTTCTGGTTTTTTTTAACAAGTTTAAAAAATACTTTTAGAACAATATTCTAAAGTTTTCTAAACATACTGTCTTTTAAAATACATTTAATTTCAAATTTAAAATGCAATATACTAAGCAATCGGACTTGAGAAAAAAAAATAAATCTTGACTATTCTGAGTTTCTCCATATCACTTATGTTACATGCTATTTGAAAGTAAATTTTGTAAAAAAAATTAAGTGTTTAAAGTGTCTATTACCTGGGTAAGCAGATGTAGTGTGATTATATGCTGAATTAGCTACAGTTATTCGCCTGCATATCAGTCAGTCACTAAATGGCATTATCAGTTGTCTGATAAACCCTTGCCAATCTCATGCTTTCGTGATGCAAACACTATAATTTATTGTGCATATAGGAAATTACATGTATCAGAAAATTATTGTGATAAGTAAAGTATTTCAATTCAGTGCTTTAAAAACTTCATTTCCAGATCTTTTCAAGAATAGTAAATAATAATATGAATCATTAAGTGTTAAAATCTTTGTCTAGGTGTTCCAGTTTGTTTTACAAGGAAAAATACAGAATTTTTCTGGCCAGTAAGTGGAACTTAATTAAAAACTTAATTGAAAGGACAGTTCAGCCAAATTCCCCAAGCTTTTTTTTTTTTGATATTTCCACAGATTTGACTGTTCACTAACAAGATTAACATGCTAGCAAAGGATTTCCCATAATCCTGAAAACAATTTTGACTTGTGTGCAAGTTTGGGAGGGGCTCTTTGTACATAGCACACTTCTGGAATTTTTTCTGAAAGGTAACCATGAAAAGTTTCAATAGCAATGTAAGAATGCATTGAACTTTAAGCTAATTCAAACTCTGTCAAATTTGATGAGCAGAAACTATCTCAGCTCAGGTCTTCTTACATGATATAAATTGGCATTATTGCATAAGAACCAAAGAAATTATAGTGAATTACAATAGACAAGAACCTGCTTCAGTAAGGATTTTATGAATAAAGAGGGAAGCACAGAATGCATTGCTTAGCTGCTTGCTCTTTAACCCACATCATATGGTTGCCTGCAAAGCTAGCTATTATAATTAAATTATATTAAATATAATCATAATTAAACCATTTTTTCAGACAGACTTGTCTGTTTGAATTCAAAATATTTAATACATTTTCCTGAAATTTTACTGTGACAACTAAAGAGGAGAAAATTATGTTGAATTGTTCTGTTTAAGCAGCTTTCCTGAAATGTTACAACAATGTAAGTTTTTAGTACTAGCTATATCTTGTATTATGTTTTCTGTAGAGAAAGGGATTTTTTTTTGTGCATGTATGAAACCATACATATATAACATATTAGAAATAAAACAAATAAAACACGCACATATCTCAAATATTTATTTTTAAAATGTCCCCCAAAATTCTAGGAAAAAACCTGTCAAAAAGTGCTCAAAAGCACATCCCAGTATGGTAGCATTAAGAATAAGCTATACTTAAAATACAATGCAGCGTGCTCCTTGTTGTAGGTTGTAATAGAGTGTTTTAAGCTTCTTTGTATTTTTGCTTACTTGTAGAAGGCATCCCTTAAATAATCTACTTCACCAATGTTCTGTTCCAGACCTTGTTTCAAGGAAAAGGCACCTAGTCAAACTGAGATGGCTTAAAAATACATCAGGGGCATCTCAGTAAATACCTAGCTGCATACTTTTTTAGTCAAACATATGTTTATTTACTTCCAGCCTCAAGCAGAGCTGTGAAAGACAATGAAAACACCTTCTGAAATGCATTTGTTTGCTTTCTTGTCGGCTAATAATGCTCATATAGTGAATCACTGCAGTTCAGCAGTTGCCTGATATAAATAAAACCTAGGCAATTATTGGCATTAAAAACAAAATCCTCCCTACCCCGCTTAAAAAAATAAAAAAGCCTTCCACTACTTAGAAACTCCACAAGAATGTCTGCAGAGTGATGAACACAATTTAAGGAACAGTAATGGTCTTCCCCCAGGCACTGATGATGATTCTACCAAACATGGTAGAAGAAGACAGAGACCAGATTAACCACACTCATTGTTTGAGAGTACTGGAGGTTTCCCTAATCACCCATTTCCATCTGCCATTTCCCACATTTTGTCATCCCTTTTTCTTCTGTCCCTTTCCCTCTCCCTTCCCATTTCCCTGATGGTCACACAAATATGCATTCCATCTCTCAGAGCAGACCTCTACAAATTAGCAAATTAAATTGCCAGGTAGGAAAAGGCCTGCTTAGTTTCCCACAGTGAGAACAAGGATACACAGTAACTTTCACATCTTCATTCTTATTTATTCAAAATTTGTCATGTTCTTCAAAGGCAAGAGTCCCTCAGATGCCACATCTTATTCCCTCATTATATCCCAAAGGAAGGGAAAGGGTTCATGTGGTAGTCCAGACTAATTGAACTGTATTTTCTCAGCAGTGGAACAAACCTACTGTATATTTCTCCCTTGTGCAATTTATGTGCTACTTATACCAGTACCAGGCCAATTTACATTGATAGATTGAACATCTCTGTTGTTTGCTTTGCTTTTCATGTCTGATTTTCAGTTAGAGGTAGAGTAGGAGGAAATTATGTTTTTGTTGAAAAAAGTAACAGAACTTACTGAAACAAGTCTTGTAGCTTGTATTTTCTTTTTTTTTTTCAGTTCCTTCTTTGTTTTTTACAAGAGAGTTTTTAAATTTATTTGGAAATATGCTTTGCTTGACTATCACATGCATAATTTTGACGAGAAAATTTCTTTTGCAATAAACCTAGAATCTTCATAGAGTGTATTCAAAAAAGCTTTCAAAACCTTGGATTTTTTGGGGTTTTTTTTTGGTAACTTACATTTTTACAGTCACTCAGCCATGCAGAACATAGTTTATTTTGCTTTTCCCTTTTTCTGAAAACAATGCAAAGATAAAACTGGAGGGTAATGCTCATTAAATGCTTGAAAGACTGGACTATATAAAATATTTTTTTTTAAAGTCACAGGGCCTAAACTTGTCAAAATACTAAAGGCAAGAAGTCAGCATTTCCTGTGGGAAAATAAGAAGTGACCTTTTGTCACCAAATATCTAAGTACAGATCTATCACTGACTAATCTAGTGGCCGAAAGAGCAGTGTTGTGCAACAAGAGAAGAAACGCAATAACTCCTCCTCTCCTGGAAATTTCTTGTAACCCCTATGATTTGAGAGCTGGGCTAGCACCGGCTGTGTGGCTTGCTCCTGCCCCATTTCTTGCTGGAAACTGCTGGCACAAGATTTTGTGGTTGGGAAATAGCAGCTGAACTGCACCCTGAGCAACAACAGGTCCCTGCGTGCATCCACATTTGCCACATTGCAAGTGGGAGAGGAGCCCTAAGAAGTTACATCTCTTTGGGGTTCCTCTCTCCTCCTTACTGGGGTGCATTAGGGCCAGGGGTGGAGGCAGAGGCAGAACCTCTCTTCCCTTCACACCCTGCAGCTCTGAAGGAATGCGCTCTCATAGGTTGCAGACAAAGGAGCCCTGTGTCCCTTCCCTAGTGAAATTACACAATTTCTTTTTTTTTCAGATCAAAATCCCCTGGTTTAGTGATAGGTTTCATGTTTCCCTGCTCTTTGTCTGGGGCTTCTGATTTCCTGGTCATAGAAGATAAATGTGAAAAAGAAACAGTATGCACCACTTGAAAAAAAAATAATAAAAAAGTAATTCTCACTATATATATCTAGACAAGCTAAAATTCTTGTCAGAGGATGGGCCAAATAACATCTTCACATTTCTGAAGTACTTGACATTATAATTGTACTGAACAAAAGAGAAAAAAAGCATTGTCTTATGACTGTTTTATTACTTTTTCTTTCTCTCTGTTTTCTTTGTTATCAGTATGCTCTGGTATCACCCTTTTTTGATAAATGTTTTCCTGTTCTACCTTGGTCTACAAAAGTCTTCTGCTAAAATGTAGCATTTATCACTGTGTTCCTGGAAGGCTGTTAAAGGCAAGAGCATATTCAGTTTCAGATTTTTGATAAAAAAAGCTAGATGGGTTGATAAATTGTAGGTAATAGGTTTTGCAGGCTCTACAGATAGAATGAGCTCCCTGCATTAACTCTCTGCATTGCTAGGAAATTTTATAAATAAGAAGAAGCATTTCAGCCCAACCCCCTTAAAGGATAAAATATCCCTAAAACAGTTAGGAAG